AATAGCTAACGGATTTTACTTAGAAAAAAATCCTTCAAGGGGAAATTCTACAAAATAATATAATATTATTCTTATTATTCAATATTATTTATATTTTCTTCTCAAAAGTTGTAAATTAACGACTTTTTTAAAAAAAATCACTTATTCTTTTAAGAAAGTAAACTATCTGTATGGCAAAATTGAGAATATCATAAGCAAAAAAGCTTCTATTTTTGATTTGGGCAGTCTTTTGGCGGGCTCTGTCTGTATAATTCTTTAGTCTAAGGTATATACATATCCAGCCTGTTCATATCCACAAAAACGAAAATTGTATCCAGCTATTTTTTTTTTAGTATCCTACTGCTGGGCACGGGCCTCCCTTCAATACGAGTGGGATCAGGCCATAGTTCACCACACTGCCCAAGTACGGGTTGGTGGAATTCTTGTGTGTGAATGTCTTTCGAAATCTTGCTAGATTCTTCCAGAAATCCAGGTTTCCTCACGATGTTTTCCTTCACCGTAAAACAAGTGATAATCAAGTCGGAAATAATTTGCATATGAAAATATGCGAGACCTGGGAACTGAACCCGCATCACTCGGTTGCCCAAGCGAGCGTGTTACCATTGGGCTACCACTACCTAGTAAGAAAACATTGGATTATAATTATTCTAAGCCATACAATATCCTAATATAAAAATCAACATGAAATTGAAACAAAAGTAGTAAAGAGCACTCGCTGCCAATCAATTGGTCGCAATTTGACAAATGCGTGAGTCGAGAGTGCTATTCCATCATCACGGATCACTTCGCTGCCTATCCAATGTATAGATTGAGGTGGCTCAGTATTTTTGTAATCGTCGTGACTGTTTTAATATGTTCGAAGAGAGAAAATATAATATATAAATGAGTTAAATTCATTAAAAAGTATTTTATTTGTACGTAAAAATTGTGATTGTATTATATTCAGCCCTCTTTAATGTCCCATTGCTGGACTCGGGCCTCCCTTTAACACAACGGAGGATCAGGCCATAGTCCACCACACTGGCCAAGTGCAGGTTAGCGGACTTCACATGTCTCTCGAAAACTTGCTAGGTTGTCTCAGACATGCAGGTTTTCTCACGATGTTTTCCTTCGCCGTAAGACAAGTGGTAATCATGTTGGAAATGATACGCACATGAAAATATCAGAGGTGCGAACGAGCGCGTTACAATTGAGTTACCACTGCTTCAATTGTGATTGAATTTATGAAATCTCAAAATATTACAAAAGTACTACTTGGACTGCTATAATCAGATATTTCCGAAGTCGGTGCCAGCCAACAATACTTTAAGATATCTAATAGGTAAATACATAGGTATGTAAAAGTATGAACTCTAATTATTATAGTTAAAAAATAATATGTAAATTTGTGATGTATTTATACATATCTAAATTTGCTTTGCTTTGTTTTGTTTTTTTTTAAAGTTTTTATTGTAATTATTTTTTGTTTACAGCTTTTTAGTATAGGTCAGTTAGATATTTTTAGTTTTATTTTACAATTTCTTATTCTAAATTACTCTTAAACATGTGTTGTATATATTATTTTTGTAATCACCACTTAAAAACCTGTATTTTCGTACCAGACTCGATTCATTCGAACGAAATTCTTTTTTCAAGACACAAAAGTTGGCGTCTAGGATCCGCTATTTGATTTTAAATATTATGTATATAGCCTATGACACTTATATTAAGACGAATCGAATGACGTATGAATCATTAAAATCGATTAAGCCGTTTAGTAATTAAGAGGGAACATAAAATCGGACATATATACGTACATACATACATACAGGTCTAACACAAAACCCTTTTTTTTTTTTTATAGTTGGGAAATCCTATTACGGATACCACCCGACTTCCCCCCCAAGGTGGTTATGTGGAGACTCTCCGGCTAATGAGACCGGCATACCCACTAAAACCCAACTTTCCCCACAGCCGCCATGTGGGACGACACGGGACCGCTTTCGCATACAACCGTGACGCCCCGACGGTTGGCCGAAGCCACCAACCATGAGGCCGCCCCAAGCGGGACGACCCCATTATGGGAAGACTTGCAACCCTGAGACGTGAGACTGCTCCCAAGTCCACTCTGCTGAACAGAGAAGTACCCGGAGCAGCCCCACACAACCAAACACCGCCCACCGAAGTGGGCAATCTGCAAAAACAAGCGGCCTAAGCCTAAACCTTCCTGCCCAAATTGGGCAAACCTCCACGGCGTCCGAAACCGAACCACCCCAAACGGCTGCAGGAGTAGAGGATGCGACAACGCCGACACTCCCCTTCCCCTACAGCCCCACCGCGTCCACCATCAACGGTGGTGGCCCCGCTAGGCCGCGGGAGATAGGGACGAGCGGCGCATCGCCATACCGACACTCCTCTTCCCCCGCGGCCCCCCTACCGTCGGCCCACCTCCGGACCAAAATGGCTGCCGACACCCACGCCAGACGCAGGACCACCGAACTGGCCCCGCTCCAGCCGCCGCACCGACGGGCTAACCCCGGCAGCACGGCCCGCGCAGCGCCTCCTACCGCGAAACGGCCGGAGACACCGCGCTACCTCCAAGAAGGAGACGGCGCCCTCCTGACACCGCTCCCCCTGCCCCTCCTGGCTGTTGGTCCGCGCCGGATTACTCCGGTACCACAAGCTCCTGTCTGGGGGAACAGTCACGAGTGGCTTTCCCCTATCCGCCACCCGGGGGACGCGTCCGGTAGCAGTCAGCCTCTGCCCCGGATCTAACACAAAACCCTTCTTTGACCTTCGCCGCAGTCAGGTAAAAAGGAATCTACGATTAAAAAAATATACCTCCTCATTTTCTACAGTCGGTAAAACGTTAACAATAGATTATTCCATAAAAACCTAAAACTAAATAAATATTTTCAACTTATGTACACTCGTGTAACTCAGAACATAAAACAAGTGAAATGGGCGATGTACTGGAGGCATAAATCTGGAACATCTGTGCAGTTTTATAGCCCTCTAAGTGTTTACGGTTTAAGGTGGATAGAAATTGGTCGATTTTTCTCTCTAAGCTTTTTACATTTTAGACATATTTACGGTAAACTCATTTATATGGAAGGAAATTTGAATTGCAAGTACTTTAAGTTGAATAATAAGATCTATTTAAGCTTCTTAGAGCATTCAGAGTCTCGTAGCTAAATAGTAAAACCTTAGACCATATAATATCGTGTGTCTGTTCTTATGTAAAAGGTACTGGCTATATAATTATATATATCAAGTCATTAATAATTTTAAATTCGGTGTCCTCTCTAACTCTCTTAATCAAATTACGAAAATCAATAATGTTAATGATTCTTGTAACAAAGGGATGAAAACATAATCAAACGGGCGATTTTTTTACATAAGGAGAGAGTTAGAAAGAAGTACTTAGTAGTAGAACAGAAAAAAAATAAGAAGAGAAAGAGATTAGAAGGGGGGAGAATAGAGGGGAAATCTAGAATGATAACCCCCCCCCCTTTCCCTGCCCCCTTCCAATATAATCGATGGCATATAATATGTAGATAGTACTAGTTATGATAAGCCGGAATTTTACGTATTCGTAGACGTATAGACAATCCACATTATTAGATTTCGAGATGATCTGAAAGCTGCAACTTTAGTGCACGTCGATGAGACCAATAGCGGAATGCAGATCACGGTTTGAATTGAAAATACAAATTAAACACATTGTATAATCTTCTTTGAAATGGAAGATTCGTTTTTATTCCAAATTGAAAATTTCTACCAGTTTTATTTTTTCAGTGACGATTTATGAAGTAGTTATCTGTGTTTTATTGTGAAGGGAAGTTCGCAGGTTTGATTTCTGTTAGTGATGAATTTTATTAATCATTCTCAAACAGATAAAAGTAGTTAAATAATATAAATTTTAATTAAAATTACAAAGTATTATTCATGGTTATTTTACAATTTTAAATTTATTGGTTTTCATTTTCTTGGCCGGAAACCTAATTCTTTTTCTAAAATAAAAGTAGCCTATAAGTAACTGCTTATAATATCACATGGTTCGGCCGTTTCAGATTAGCCGTAACAAACAGATAGACAGACGGAAAAAAAATAAAAAAAATGTTTTTTTCTCATAAGTACCGTATATACCACTTTCATATGCTTTTAGTAAAAAACTGTTATAATGACATTACAAAAGGACTCTTCAATAATTATATTATTTATTTGTAAGACAAGAAAGGAGCAATGCCTCTTTTAGTTTCTTGGGAAAACCCATATAGCTGTCAATTGGCTGGACACATCAGTCCAGCCCCAAGTAAAGATGAATAGGAAAGTTTGACAAAACATTTAAAACAGAAAAAGTCGTTGACATTTATTGGGTAAAAAGTGTCGATAAGTACTTTCTATCGACACTTTTTACTTAGTAGTGCTTATAATATTTTTATCTAGGATACAAAATATCTTTATTTCGAATTTCACTCAAATCTGTTAAGTCCTTACGGCATGTAAAAGTAACAAACATCCATACACTCACAAAGTTTCGCAATTAAACTATTAGGGGAAAATGAGAACTAGATGATATAAAATTAAATTAAAAATAAAAAAAAACCGAAATGTAATTCGCCATTTTGTGGTGGCAGCCATCTTGGATTTGAAATTTATCATAGTGTATAGTATTCTAATAGTCAAGCCCTTTCATTTGATATCCATATTTGTGAAAGAATATGTAATTCACCTTTCAAACAAAAAAAATCAAAATCGGTTCATCCATTCGGGAGCTATGATGCCGCACACACACGGACGCGTCAAACTTGTAACACCCCGTTGTTTTTGCGTCGGGGGTTAAAAAACAAAACAATTTACAGAAGATTATCCACAAATACTCAAGCTCGGCTGACGAAAATTATTTTCTTGAGATCATAATTACGATAAACGGTGGAAATTAAAAGTTGTTTCTTTTTTACGTCTACGTTACGTTTTTTATGGAAACTCCCAACAGAGATGTTTTTGCTATATTATTAGGGTTCTATAGTAGGTAAATCTAACTCGGTAGTGGCTAGCAAGTACGGCTGCACATCCAGAGGTCCTGGTTTCGAGTCTCGGGTCGGGCCAAATTTAGTTATTGTGTCTTTCTGTTTAGTAAGCTTCAGTAATAGCCCGAAGTTGGTAAGTTGGCGTGTTTCACCCCCGTGCCTCGGAGAGCACGTAAAACCATCCTTGTCGTCTTGCAAGTTAACTCTCATCGGTCGTGTCGAGTAGTCGTCCCACCAGAGTATGAGAATAGAGAGTGCACTTGTGTCTGCGCGCACACTTGTGCACTATAATATCTCCTGCGCAGATGGCAAATGGCTAGCCTCAATGAGATTGGCCGCCGTGACCAAAATTGATCGGGATATCATTATAGTTAAATCAGTGAAACCAATTTGAATTCATACTTAGAGTACCTACACATGTGAAAAATATGTGAATTTGTATCTTTCCCGTTAAAATGACTGGATGGATTTAGATGGAATTTAGTATAAAAATAGATTATGATTTGGAGTAGTCCAAAAGCTACTTTTAAACACCAAAGAACGCTACCGAGCGAAGCAGACTAGTCTTTACTCTCTAAAATCCATAAAATATCAATCACTTAACATTCTCAACTTAGAAGTGGGTTAGTTAATCTAATACAAAAAAATCAGCAAAATGATGTAGGTTAGTTTTTACATAGGTAATATTATTATTTCTAAAACCAGAAAAGTGGGTTCGAGAACCATTTACGATTAATATTTCTAATAGTATTCTAAATAACTTGATTGGGAGACCCCGTTTGTGTCGAGAGTTCGTGAAAACGTTCATTTATATACCTTTTGGCTTTTGATCTAATGATCTATAAATCTCAAATATGAAATAAAATCTATACATATAATAAAATTGTAACTAAGCCGAATCTGTACATTAAATATTTTTGAAAAATCTTATTGAAATAGACATTATTATCGATACAGAGGCCGAATCTATAGTTTTTAGAATTTTTGTCTGTCTGTCTGTCTGTCTGTTGATTGAGAGTGGATTTTGATGCAATTTGGTATGGCTGGTTATCCTGGTCAACATATATGATACTTTTTACCGCGGGAAAATTTCTCATTTCTGAGAAAAAATACAAAAACTGCAATGTAAGAGTATAATAATATGTAAAACCTAAGAACTTGGTTTTTGGTCATCTAAACGCGGGCGGAGCCACGGGCAATGCTAGTGATCTATAAATCTCAAATATGAAATAAAATAAGGAATACATTTTTAAATATGCTAAATTGTATGAATGATCGAATAACGAAAAATATTTTTATTTTTCATAATGGCTTATATTGAAATAGAAGATACCAATGAGGGTGTGGGGAAATAAAAATACCAATTTTCGATGGAATGCTATGTCTTGGGTCCTCATCACGAACTCTATTAAAGATAAGAGGTTTTTCTCAACAAGATATTTGACATATTTCGGTACAGCATTTAGCATTTTAATTTAAGCTGCTTGCTAATGAATATTCTTACGAGCCAGGGTACTGATATGGGAAATTAAAGATGGACGCTTGAAAAATGATAATTTCTTGCATTGTACACGAGTTACTCACGTGTAGTTGAGATACACTACTTGTCATTACATGCTTAATTTTGATCAAATCAAATCAAAATATACTCTTTTTAAATAGACTTTTACAAGCACTTTCAAAATCAATTATTACTTAACTACATTTTTATTACTATTATAAATGTGGAAGTTTGGATGGATGGATGTTTATTACTCAATCACGCCAAAACTGCTCAACAGATCTGGATGAAATTTGGCACAGAAATAGATTATAGTCTGGAATAGCACACAGGTCATTTTAATCTCGGAAAAATGCACAATTCTCGTGGGATAGTTTTGTTTTCATTTTTCACTTTTATCATTATATTCAGTTTATCATATTCTTACCCAATCGTCACTATCTCCAAACTTTTATTAGAGGGCGACAACTTTCAAATTAAAACTAAAAAGCTCTACAAATCTTTCCTTAAATACAATCTTATATAATACAAATGAAATTCAAAACTAAAATTTAAATTCTAACCAAACGTATCACCATAAATTCTTTTAAAGAATGCATCTGACAAGTGTGTCGCTTTAACTACAATTTACGAGGTATACTGCAGAATTCTGGTTGCTTCAACAAACAAATAAAACGTACCAAAATATCTGTTTTGCTATCATAATGAGTAACTTTAAAATATTATTTGAAATTTCATATCTTTATACTATATGTATAATATATAATACTGTTTGTTATTTTGGGAATATTATGTTCATTGCTCAGACTAATATAGATAGAGTGTCATAGAACTAAAGATGAAGCCAAACGATAATGTTTTAAAAAGTATACAAACGACAATTTGTATACTGAGAGATAAGTAAATAAATATTAATAAATAATAATAGGGGATTTTATTATAATAAAGAAAAAAAAATAAGCGAATATTATGGCATATCTTTTTTAAGGGGAAGATGCTTAAAAAAATAATGTAAAGAGAGTAATGCTTAAAAAATCCAACAATATATATTTATTATTCATATTTTATTCTCAAAAATTGTACATTAATTTATTTAAAGCATTGCCCGCGGCTCCGTCTGCGTTTAGATTACCAAAATCCAAATTCTTAGGTTTTACATATTAGTATACTTTTAAAATTAATAATTCAAAGTATTATCTAAGAAATAAATTCTTTGATATAGAATTTTATCGCATAAAAAGGCATATCTACTTTGCCACAAGTAACTTGTGCTCTTTGAGTCATAAAACGTCTAAGGAGAGAGCAAATAAAAGTTAAATTAAAGTTACGTAACCTTTATATTTACCCGACAGCGGCGAAGCCTAAAGGAGAGTTATGTGTTTAAACTGTATGTATGTATGTCCTATTCTAATACGTTCCCTCGTAATTACTAACGGCTAAACCGATTTTGATGATTCATACGTCATGAGATTCGTCTTGAAATCACAAGTATCATAATGTATAAAGAAATTATTAAAAATTAAAATGGCGCCAATTTGTGTGTATTTATAAAAAAAATCTTCCAAATATATCGAGTGAATGAGACATTTTTAAATAAAAGTCTAAATTTCTGAAAACACCAAAACTAAAAAGGTGCAAATAAAAAAAATATATAAAACTAAAAAGATGAAAACAAGATGACAAAAGAACATATCTATGGAGTCGGAGACATACATATAATGTTTTATACTTGCTGTGAGTCTTGCTACATACATATTATATAAAAGTATACCTTAAGTTTTGTATATATATATGTATAGGTATTTTAGGCCTAACGAGTAATACCTATTTTAAATGTACAATCTATATTTAGAAACCGCATCCATTATGCCTATATATAAAGTTCTAACTTCTAAACTAATCAAATTAATCTAAAAGTCATTACTGTGGAACAATTTGTGACGATTTCCTTTGGATTGTCAGGATTTGACAGGCGAATAAATCATAATACAGAGTTTTTGTTGGTTAAGTTAAAATGTTAATGGAATATGGACTTTATTTCTTATAGATAAGGTTCTAAATGCAACTTTAATATAGGTAGCTTCAATTACAAGACTTCCAATAAACGAGTAGAAATAGAACTTTTCTGTCATCTCGCTCTCTTTATGAAGGGATTGGTAAGAAATTTAACTAATAAAGCGACCCAGATTGTCTCCATAATGGTGTTAGTTTTGGCAAAAAAATTGGCATAAAAGTCTATACTAATATTATAAATGTGAAAGTTTATGAGAATGGATGGATGTTACTCTCTCACGCCAGAACGGCTGAACAGATCTGGATGAAATTTGGTACAGAGATAGATAATAGTCTGAAATAGCATATAAATTACTTTTTATACCGGAAATATACGGTTCCCGTGGGATAGATTTGTTTTTGTCTAGGGACGAACCCGAAGCAAACAAGGGTGAGTCGCTAGTAATTTATATGTATACTAACGACCTTTTCGAGTTCATTCCTAGATGTCAAAGTAGCCTATGTGCTACTCCAGGTCAAAGTCCATCTGTGTATTAAATTTGATCCAAATCCTATTAGCTGTTTGCGCGTTAAGGAAAAACAAACGATGTCGAATGATGCTCATTTAATAAATTATCATGATGTAAAAAATCTCGACGTAAGATGAAGGAAAACGTCGTGAAGAAACCTGTATGTATGAAGCAAGATTGTAATTTCAAAAGACAGATGAAGTTCTCCAACCCGTAGTATAGTAGACTGACTCGTCTACACAGAGTCAGTAATTCTTTTTATGGAAAATTCAAAAAAAATGTTAAAGAACGTTTGTGTGCTAAATACTAATATACAATCTCAGACCAATAAATACTTTTTTATTGGTCTGAGTATACAATAAATGATTTTATAGAAGATAGGTGTGCCACCTTGAGAATCAAATGATCTCCTCCAGGCTACTTCAACTTGATAGAAATATTGTAAATTATAATTTTACTTTAAAAAAAAGATAACTTAATATTAGTCCCGCTGAGTTTCTTTCGCCAGTTCTTCTCAGGTCTGAGGCTTCTTCTTTCCAAACTGGTAGTAGACTCATGACGTTCAGTAAAAAAATGTAATAATTTAATGCTGAATAAAATATTTTGAATTTGATCTATGGCCTGATCCAGCTCGTATTGAAATCTCTCAATTCCAACAGTGGGATGTTAAAAATAGCTAAATACAAATTAGCTTCATTTATAAAATTATATACGTAGGTACTCGTATCTGCTGTCTTATACCTACAAGAGCGAAGAAATAGACCATCTGTTTGCGCACGCAGTCATGCATTATAATTTCTTCCACGTAGATGGTTGGACAATATTGGCAGTGAAATTGGCCAGTGTAGCCTATATTCCCTGAAGGCGACGTCTATGTAAAATTAATAATCTATCTACACTCCTATCAGGTATAAAAAAGAAAATTTTGTATTTCTGTATGTTTGTAACGAATAAACTCAAAAACTGTTGGACCGATTTAGACGAAATTTAGGTAAGAAGATAGTTTAAGACCCTGGGAAGGACATTGAATATTTTTTATTCCGGAAACCATCTCTTAAGGGGGTGAAAACGGAGATGAAAATTTGTATAAGGAATCAATCCTAGGAACGCAAACGAGCGAAGAGAGGGTAAGTCGCTAGTGAAGTAATAAGATTGAATATCTCATAGATAATGAATTTATTATCTAT